GATCCAACTCACGCTCCCGTCTTACGCCTATTGCTTGCAGGAATCATTACCGTATTTCTGGTCATTAATACGTGCATTTAAGATATGTCACAGTTCGAACTAGTCAACGTGGTAAGGCCAATGTACGTGTGACGCAAAAGTTCGTACAAGCTGAAGGAGTCAGTGGGAAGAACGAAACGTTGTTCGATATTCTGGAAAAACAGAAGGGCAAAGTCGCAGATGGTGAGGCTTGCCATAAGCCTATGTATCGTGCATTTTTTGAAGGCAAAGGGCACGATCGCTGTGGGCGGGCTGTTGTCGTCAGCGTCATTGGTGGAAGCGATGACTGTGCGTGGGTCCACGCCCTCCCACGGCCCTTCCACCAGTGGCGTTGGCAACAAGCGCCCGCCTCCAACAATCATACCCACTGCCTTTGGGCTTAGATAAAAGGATTAAAAAATTCGAAGCACTTGACGTTGACCATTCCCTTAGTGGTATGCGCCATGCAGTTTACTTCCATTCGAATCATAGTAACATTCGAATACCATTTGGCTGCGATAGGCTAGCCGATTATGAATCAGTTTTATCCTCAGATAAATCATCTTCTGATTAGCCTAGAATGATCAAACGGCAGGCTTGAACGGGAGTTTCCCGGGAATGACCCACGACCGTGCTCTGGATGACCGATGCCACCTGTTACTGCTCCGATTCTGCCGAGTGTACGTGTAGACTTGGCAAAAGGCGTTTCATCGGAGTGCCCCACTTTCTCCTTTTTTCCGTGATTTTCTGAAATCGGTGTTTTGTGAAGCTTTCTTAGTGATTTATCTTTCTTCAGATGGATCTCCTATGAGAACGCTGGTTTTCGTCGAAACCAAGAAACGAGCGGATTTCCTAGCGCTCGCGCTCAGTGAGAAGGGAGTTCTAGCTGCTAGCATAAATGGGTACGTTTTTAAAAGTATTGTAGCGAAGGCGAACACACAGCTTTAGAAAGCCGTGTTGGTTCATCGGGTGACCAACTGATACCAATCCTCACACACTGAGCTAACCTTGAGTGTGTATTTTCTTGAAGAAATAAAAAAAGGTGATCAGTCTAGTTGTAAAAAAGTTTCAGAAAGTGCTACAGTCTTGTTCGCTGCGGAGCTGTGGCATTCCAGAGACTGTGTTTGGTGCAACGACAGCCAGTTTTTCACCAACTGTGGTCACCTGTCACCTTCCGGATTGGTGGAAAACAGGCTGGAGCAGCGCCAAACCCCGCCCCCTTGAACGCCACAGCTACGTAGCGAACAAGACAGAACTACTTTTCAAAGCTTATTTTACAATTGAACTAATCAACCTTTTTTATTTCGTCAAGAAAAATAACACTGAAGGTCGAATCAACGTGCGAGGGTGTCACTTTGGTCGCCCGACAAGGATCGATACAGCATTCCTAAATCGTGTTGGTTTCGATCTCCCTTAGTTTTCGTTTTCAGTGACCGCCCTCAAAACGAACGCGAGCGAGTAGTTGGAGAGCTACGGGAAGGAACTCTACATGTACTCGTTGGTACCGATGTCTGTCAGCGGTAGGACTTCCGGAATACTTTTTTTCGTTTTGATGTTTAGTTTTTCGAAGTAATAATCCGCGAGTATCTGTTAGGCAGAATTCCCTTCTTCTTCAAGGTAGGGTTGTGCAAACGCAGACATTGCATCTCGTTCATGGCTCGAAAGGGAACAGATCATCATTCGCTGTAGCGTTCCTGCAGTATCGCTGGCAAAAAGCGTTCCTGCAGTATTGCTGGCAAAAACAAGCGAAATAGGCTTTTTCGCTGATAAGACAGTTACCTTGATTACCTTGATCCGTGAACCAATCAAAGCTCAAAGTGTAGAGCTTTCGCCATTGGTCGATCCCTTTTCGGATGCGGCCACGCATTCTACTTCCATTCAGAATCGTAGTGGCTTATTGAATGCGATGTGGCCTATACAATGACTTGCGGGGCCAGCCGATGTACAAGTCAGTGTTTTTATCCTCCCAGACGAATCTGGTACCAGTTTACCATTACCAGCGAATGTAAGCCATTACCGTAAGCCGGATAGCATCAAATTTCATGTCTGTACGTCACCATTCAAGTTTTGCAGTCACAGAAAGTGTTTCGAAACACGATGATTGAGAAAACTTTTTTCAGAGGTCTGGATATTGGTGGACTGGACCATGTAATTAATTACGACATGCCCACCGGTACACCTGAAGAGGTATTTTCAACTAATTTTCTCGATCAGTCAGTTTGACGGATCAGCAAGTCGATGAAAATGTCTTTACAGAGGGGCGGGGGTTAGAAGAAAACTCTTCGCTAGTGTGCAGTATCAAAATATCGAAATTATTTTCAGGCTCGTGACAAGTACATACATCGTATCGGACGAACTGGTCGTCTTCATGGAGGCGTAGCGACCACGTTCGTCGATTCTCGTGCATCCAGTGATGTGGATTTGATCAAACTGATGGTGCAAGTATGTATAATGCTTTGTATTTCATGAATGTATTTGGCAAAGGTACTGTAGTGTCGCTAAGGTAGCGTTCAGACTTCGCGTCTCGACGAGCTTTACTGCGTTACTATTGCAATAGCGCCTCAGTGCTATGAAGTGGTATGCAACCAACGGCGCCGGCCGCTTCATGTTTTGAGAGAGAGTATAGTAGAATGTTTTGAGAGAGAGTGTAGTAGATTCAGGAGGTGCGCATGAGAGAGTATGGTAGATAAAGGGGGAGGGTGGAGGAGCATTGACTGATCACACTGTCTAGTACCCTCCTAATCTTCTGTATATTCTCCCTACACACAAGCGGCTGGTGCCGATGGCGTCGCTCACGTCTACACCACTGCAGCGCGGTCGCAATCTTGCGTCGGCGCGGCTCACCGCGAAGCGTTGCCTGAAAATATTGCGATCTAAAACAGCGTTCAGACTTTACGACGACAGCGCTTCGGTGGCGCGTTCGCCGCGATCGATGGAGTCGAAGG